AGGAGATCAGACAATGCCCCAAATCCTCCCTCTTGTCTCCTACCCACCTCCACACCAAAAACCCAAAACTCCGAGTTTTTCCCCCTGTGATAAACTCTACCAAGGCCTATTTCACACACACAGATTCCAGTTCATCCCAAAGGCTTGGAAGCTTTCTCCATGGATGAAGGTTAAAAGCTGTGTTGTCCTTTGGGTCAGGTTAAAGCACCTGTTCTGGTTAAAGGCAGTGCTCTCCTTTGGGTCAGGTTAAAAGCAGTGCTCTCCATGGATGAAGGTTAAAGGCAGTGTTCTCTTGGGGATCAGGTTAAAGGCAGTGTTCTCCTTTGGATGAAGGTTAAAGCAGTGCTCTCCTGGGGCTCCGGTTAAAGCACCTGTTCAGGTTAAAAGCAGTGTTCTTCTGGGCTCACGTTAAAGGCAGTGCTCTCCTGGGGATCAGGTTAAAGGCAGTGCTCTCCATGGATGAAGGTTAAAGCAGTGCTCTCCTGGGGCTCAGGTTAAAGCACCTGTTCAGGTTAAAAGCAGTGTTCTCCTGGGCTCACGTTAAAGGCAGTGTTCTCTTGGGGATCAGGTTAAAAGCAGTGCTCTCCTAGGGCTCAGGTTAAAGGCAGTGTTCTCCTTTGGGTCAGGTTAAAGGCAGTGCTCTCCTGGGGATCAGGTTAAAGGCAGTGCTCTCCATGGATGAAGGTTAAAGGCAGTGCTCTCCTGGGGATCAGCACTTCCCAGGACAGGCAGAGAAGCATTCCCTGTGCCCTGGGTTCCAGCACTAGCTGGCAGAGGGATCCTTTCTCTATTCTGGGAGCACACCCAGGGACACTGAGGCCGTTTCCTTACAGCAGGGGGATCCTCACTTGGGTCTGGAGGAGCTGTTTGCTGTCTGTGCTGTGAGTGCAGTGCTGAGCCTCTCCCAGGCACAGGGCTGAGGTGAGTGCTGGAGTCAGGGCTGCAGAGGTGTTCTCATCCCCGTTTCACATGCAAGGTGCACATGAGCACAGCCAAGGAAGGCTACCTTGTATTGTCCATCCCCATTTCTGTCTCTGCCATGTTTAATTTCCAATTCTGACAGGCTGGCCTCCACCCAGTGCCTCCCAGGCAAGGCTCCCAGCAGGACTGTGGGGCATCCACACACACCTGAATGTGGAAACCCAGGGCACCAGGAATATTTCTGTGTCTGCTCTGGGGTGCACTGACTCTGACCCTCATCCATTGAGAAAGTTTCCAAAACTCCAGAATAGACTGGAATCCACAAAAGTGTGAAATAG